ATAATTATAAAATGTTAAAGTATTCAACATAACGTAGTCAAAGCAGCAAAATGTCCCCACTTTTCTACTTCTATATATTCTATCAGCAGATGATTATCATATGTTAATGAAAGGCAGGATTTTACTGCTTTAGTTGTTGAGGAGCTATATAGCTACCTATTTTGTCTGGGACTGCAAAAAAAGTGTTTCATAATGGATAAATATGTTGATTATTTTCTCCATTAAATGATTAAATCAAAGTGACACCTTCACAATGCTGGTTGTGTCCAAACCGTGCGAAACTTAAGCAAATTTGTGAATCTGGAACCGTGAAATGTTTCTATATGAAAGGTTAACAAAACGATCAAAAAGCATTCAATTAACTGTTTGGTCGTCGACTAATTGAATCAGCAAATTGTATCAGCTGTACTTTTATAAACTGGTGGTTAACTTATAACAAAACATCACATTTTGTACACTCTTCATATGTTGTGTGTGTTAAAAAGAAGAAGCGGAGTAGAAGCAGAAAGTGGCAAGAAAAACAGTAGTCAAGTAAACAAAGAAGGACGGCATCAAATTTGTACTTAAGTACGTGTGACGGACATACGAGTCCACATACTCCTGCCCCTTCCTCTCCACATACAGGTTCATCTGGATCAGAGATAAAGGATTGAATTGTTCATTTATCCATCAGTATATGTTACTCACCACAAAGAAGACTTTACATCAGTAGGCAAGGTAAAGAAATAAGCGGTGTCCAAACCACAGCCCGTGCAAACTGTGAGGTGTCATCATTTTTAACTCTGCCACATTAATTTGACAGACTTTCGTTACTTTTCAGATAAAATTTACATTAAACACTTTATCCGACCGTCATCTTGTCTTCAAAAAGGTAACACAGGTAAAGTTAGCATGCTATGTCAAGTCTCTCTTTGTCTCTCCCTGTGTGTGTGCGCGTGTTGGGCAGGGCTCGACAATAACGGTGGCTCGATGGCCAGTAAAACGTAACATCGGGACAGTTGAACTAGCAACAAAAACATTAGTATTTAAAATAAATGAATTAGAAACTCAACATCCGGTTCTTTTGTAGCTCTTGGCGCGCAACGTTGTCCAATCCAGAGTTGTGGTTGTCAAATGTTATTTCTCTAATCTCAATCAAGCGGCAACCTCTGGGTCTGAAAGTGAAACCATGCAGACAGAACTTAAACCTGCATTCTCTCTAACGGCCAGCAGGGGGCGAGTCCTTTAGAAATAATGGTAAAATGTTGCTACTTCTCAGCTGAATTATTTAACCTCCGTAAACACTTTCATAACGAGTTTATGGTCTCAGTCGCTAGTTTCAAGTGTTCTTCAACACAGCATGATGTTCATTGAGTAAATTATGGTCCTATTTAGCGGAAACATACGATAATGCAGTGTATGCTTTTGGGCGGGCCTTCATTGTGATTAACATGTCGCTACCATGACGACCTGACAATCAGGATAGTCGCCCATCCCTAATCAGTATCTAACAATGTCACCAATTAATGTAAAGGATTGTAATTCAATCAATCAGTCACAGGGGACACATAAATGGAGAACCAACACTTTTACTACTTTACCTACTTGAAGCTGATGAGACTTACTTAAGTTTAAGATTTTCACGGCAGGACTTCTACGTTAGTAATAATAAATTACTAAAGTAAAAACACAAGAGTATTAGAATCAAATATACTTAAAGCAGCAAAAGTAAAAGTACTCATTATGCAGAATGGCCTATTTTAAACAATATCCATTATTTTAGTGTATTATAATTCATAATCTGATAAGCCTCATCTTCTATCTAAAGTTAAGCCTTTTCTTAACAGGCATGACCTAGAAAAAGTGATTCATGCCTTTATTAGTTCGAGGTTGGATTATTGTAATGCTCTTTATGTTGGTTTAAATCAATGCTTCATCTCACTGCTCGCTGCTCGGTTTTTAACAAATACATCTAGGCGTGCTCGCATCACTCCCGTCCTCTACACTCCCAGTGCAGTATAGAATACATTTTAAGATTTTGCTGTTCGTTTTAAAATCCCCAAAATGGCCTGGCCCCGGAGTACTTAACTGAGATTTTAACCCTGCGTGAGCACAGCCGGTCGTTTCGGTCTTCAAACCAATTGGTTTCAAAAGTCCCAAGGTGGAAGTATAAGCAGCGGGGTGATCACAATTGCAGATGAAACTATTTTTAGGTCTAAACTTAAAACCCACCTGTTTAGAATGGCTTTTAATACGCAGTAGTGGTGTGACAATTTCCTTTTTCTTGTTTCTTTTTGTTATACAGATCTATTGTATGATATGCAGTTTTACTATATTCTATGATGTGAAGCACTTTGGATACCTGACAGTTGTTGTAAAGCGCTATAGAAAAATGTTTGATTGATTTGAATAATTACAATCCAGGTGAAAGTGCTAGTGTGTTCACTTAAATGTTGCAGCTGGTAAAGGTGCAGCTCATTTTAATGACTTGATAATAATGTTAGTTTAATCTATGATATGACATCATGTATTAGTTTATATTTTGTAACATTAACCTGAATCTTTAGAGTATCTACAGTGATCATGTAGTGGAGTAAAAAGCAAAATATTTGCCACTGAAATGTAGGAGGAAATAAGTATTGAGTATCAGAAAATTTTAAATATTCCAGTAATGTACGAGTATCTTTGGGTAACTGTACTTTGTTACTTTCTGCCACTCTCCCAAGACAGCATCACTGCAGAGTACTTTTCCTCCATGACACTAGTTCAGATTTATGTGATATTAAATCATCAGATTTTTATATGGAGTTTGGTGCACAGCGTCTGTTCCCACCTGTCCTACAGAGAGAGACCCGAGGCTGCAGCACCGCCTCCAGCTGCCTCCTCTGCCGGTCGATCTCCTGCCTCAGACCCGAAGCCTCCTCCTCGTACCCGGCTACGGTTCTCTCCACAACCGCGAAGATTTCCTGCGCGGCTGTTGTCAGTTTCTCTGCGATGAATCCTCTCAGGATCTCCGCTTTGGCCAGTTGGTCCACACGGTCCGCCGAGGACACAAACGGACCGTTACCCGTCGCCATTTTCTTCTGACAGTCTGTAAAGTTGGACTCTGAGGTCCCGTCGTCTTCCTCGACCTCCCGCACCTTGTCGTTACACCTGGTTTCTCTCGGGGTGACGTTAAAGAAGGGGTCGAGGAAAGACAGGACCTCGGAGTGCTTCCACCGTTTCCCGCACACGTTTCTCTTCTCGATCTCCTTCCTCTTCTCCTTCAGATACGTGTCCCGGAGGCCCCTCCACTTCCTCCTGCATATCTCCTCTAACAAGAAACACAACACGACCTGCTGAATGCTGTTAATTAAAAAAAAAAAAAAAAGGTTTTAAATACTAACTAACTTACAACTAACTTAAAGCACAGCCGGTTGCTGGACGCGCTTCTTTTCACAACTTACCGGATAGTCCCACCTCCTCGCTGACTTTGCACCAAGCCATCTCCCTCTCTGCCCGGTCTCTGTACAGGTACGAAGATGAGTCGTATAATACCGAGTGCCCACGCACAGAGACAATCAGCCTGTCCTCCATGTTTTCGTCCTCTTCTTTTCTTGTTTAACGCTGGTTGGCATCCAACTGAAATGCTGCATTACCGCCACCTATTGTACTGGAGTGTGGGCTGGGGACAAAACAATAACAAACCAAAAATAAATTATATCCTTTCTGTCATTCAGGTGTCTTTAAGAACCTAAATGGATGCTTAAAAGTCCAGTGTGTTATATTTAGGAGGATCTATTGACACAAATACAATACAATATCCATTTCTACGGAAGCCCTAAGCAGCCATCGATTAAAATTATTATTTTTTACTCCATTTTCCTGTGATAACGGGATAATTTTCTCGTTTCTTAGCTGTACAGAACGCGTTCTACGTTGAATACGTACGAATAGGGAGAAGAACAAGAAGTAGTAGTAGTAGTATTAGTAAGTAGTAGCCTAGTAAGAAGAGAAGTGAAATTTGGACAAACAGAGGACCACACGTATTATTTAGCACAAGAGCCGACAGAGCGTGTCGGCCTTATAGACTGTATATAAGAAGTGGACGTAGTCGTCGTGGTGTCACCTGTTGGTTTGTGAACTGCGGTTTTGAAGCCTCAAGTTTGGCCGTTGTTGAGTTTTTACAACCAGTGGCACCGGACGTGACCATATTTGGATGAGACGGTTGAGCTAGCGGCCGCGTGCGGAGCTAGCTAGCTTGCTAAGCTAGGTGCATCTGTAATCCACGTTAACTGTCATTTTAACAGGGCTGATAACTTTGTTTAGCAAACAACAGTCTTAAAACTAAATGTACTCCCCAGAGAAAGTGAACAGCCAATTCCTATTAAGCTTTTTCAACAGCGCTGGTTAAATTTATACAGTGCCTTGGGAACGAGTCACCTCTAGCCCAAGCGGGAATCTTCCGGTCTACAATATGAAGCCGAGGAAGTCCCTGAAACCTGTATTGAAAATCCAGCAGGGGGGCGACTCTTCTGGTTGCAAAAATAAGTCAGACTCCATTAGAAATAATGGGAAAATGACCCTACTTCTCTGCTGAATAATTACCCCAGTAAACACTTTCCTGATGAGTGTATGGTCCCAGTTGCTAGTTTCTAGTCACAAACTGATGTTCATTTAGTAAATTATGGACCCATTTATTTTAAAATAGACCACAAAGCAGAGTTTATCTATGATTAACAAGTCATTACCATGGCGACCTGTCAATCAGGCTAGAGCATAGACTGTATAGACGTTAGTTAGTTAGTAGTAAATAGTGTCTCCTATTAAAATGGTTTTGCTAGGGTATAAATCGCCGAAATTAAAACATGCTGTCTGTCATAGATGTCAGGTGTTTATGATTCCAAAAGACTATGAATGATTTAAACCTGACCCTCAGGTAGGGATGTGCGGATCGATCCTAAAGTATCGATATTTCTGATACCAACGTTTCCTGCTCTAGGATCAATACTCATATAAAAGGATCGATATCTGAACTCAGTCATTTGGAGTGAGTGTGTGTTTTATTATTAGTATCTTACTGTCACCAGGATGGGCTAATTATACTCAGTTTATAGGAACTACTTTCCCTTCCGCCTCATGCTTGCGCTACGGCTGTGTGGCTGTGTAATTATTGGTATTGGTATCGGCAATACCAGGCTGGGTATTATTTGGTGTTGGATCAGATAGGAATTAAGTGGTATCACACAGCACTACCCTCATGCAGTTTGGGTTCACCTGAAGCCCCACCCCCTGCAGCCGAGTCAGAATCACTTGGTGCACCCGGGGTCCGCGGACAAAGCACAGGAGACAAGAGCAGACGAGCAGAATGTGGAACTGGGTCAAGCTGAGGGTGGTAAAAAAAAAAATCTGACACAGAAAGAAATGTCCAGAGCATTGAAAAGTCTGTGAAAAGTAAACAGACAGACAGGAAGAAATGCGAAAGAGTCAGAGTGTTGATAGTGTGGTTAATAAGGTACAAGTGGATGAAAACATGGATGAGGAGGTATGTGTCCCAAATAAATCAAGTAAAAGAAAATTTCTGGATAAAGAGAAGAGTAGTGCAAAGACTAAGAAAGTGCTGGAGGACGTATCAGACAATGATGATGAAGGTGAATGGAGGCAGTTACAGGTTGGGTTAAATTTTTACCCCCTTGAGAAAATAAAGAAACTTCTGATGGAAACTAAAGGACAAAGGGCAGTTAAGACTGAGAATTTTTTTCCTGATCTGAGAAGATTTGTCAGGTCTGTGGCAAGGCTGAGTAAGGAAGAGGAGGGTTTTGGTGACCAAGAGATCTATCGGCTTTGGAAAATTGTGACAAAAGTCAGAGCTCAACTGATTGAGGATGATGATTAGGTCTGTAATGCTTCTGCACATACTAATATGTGTTTTTGTTGTAGTGGACACTCTCTATCATATGGATAAATTAAAAATAGGATCTCTAAATGTCAATGGAGCAAGAAGCGATGTAAAAATGAGCTTCTATTTTTAAATTGATGGGACTGAAAAATCTAGATGTGTTTCTTGAACAAGAAACTCACAGTGATCCCGGGAATGAAAGGAACTGGAAGAAAGAGTGGGCTGGAAAAGTTATCCTGAGCCATAAATGATCTAATAGTGGCGGAGTGGGTGTCCTGTTGGCAAAGGGCTTTAATCCTAGTTATGTTGAGGTAGATGAAATAATGTGTGGCCATATTCTAAAAGTTAAAGTACATTATGAAAATATGAAATAGATTTTTTTAAGTGTTTATGCTCCAGTTTTGAGCAACGATAGAATGAAAAAAATGTTTTGTGTGATGCTATTCAAAATTGTACTGATGATTTCTTGTTTCTGGGAGGTGATTTTAAATGCACCGAAAATGCCAAATTAGACAGAAATCACTTAGAGCCTCATCCTGCCTCATCTGCCAGACTACTTGAGACCCACGAGTTAAAAGATGTTTGTAGATGTTTTCTCACTTGGAGTCACTGCAAGGATAATTTGTTATCATTGGCCAGACATGATCGCTCTTATTGTTCCCAACGAAGGTTAAAGTCAAGGGAAGATCTTCAACCAAGTCCAGTTGCCCTTGATTTTAACCTTCGTTGGATAACTATGACCTGGATGACTGAGAATCTTCATAGACAAACGTTGCCAGTTTTCTACCATGGAGTTTTCAAGATGTGGAAAAATTTTGGTGAAGGAGAGTGCAAGAAAACTCTTTGTACTGGTGGTTGCAGGAGCCTGTGGTACCTGGAGGACGCTTAGACACCCCCTGCTGGACAGGATCAGCGTTTACAGAGGTTTTCTACAGAGCTAGGATTCTAACCTTTGGATCTGTAGTAAACATTGCTGGACCTGATTTGGACAATTCAGCTGACCTAGCAGCTGCTCTGGGAATAAGATCTGTCAGGATCATCAGCAAGCTGCTCTAACACTGGAAACGGTGTCTGACCGGACACGAATGCTTTATGCTGAATGATTACTGTAAAGGACTGATTGTGCCTCGGATAACTGATCCTTTTCAAGTTTAAGTATTTGTCCCAGCCTTGAAAGAAAGTCACACGTTCTTAAAGTTGAAAGAGATGAAAGGTAAAGCCATGTACAGAATGATGGTTAAATGTCTTAACAAGAATAAACTGCACAAAAGGGTTTACACATCTTGGCGAGGTCATCTGTGTTTGGGAGATGATGTCAGACCTGCTTGGAGGAGTCTATATAAGCCACCTCTAATAAAGAAAGTAGCTGATTTACATTGGAGAGTTTTACATGGGATAGTAGCCGTCATTAATCGAGGTTCATGTAATACATGTCCTTTTTTTCCCTACAAAGAAACGGTGTTACACTGTTTCTCGGAGTGTGTGTGTCTGGTTCCACTGTTTCTGCTGTTGGAGAGTTTATTCAGAAAGGTAGGATAGTTTTTCTCCAAGCAGATGTTTATTCTTGGTTTTAAATATAAACAGTCTGCAAAATACAAATGTCAACTCCTGAACTTTATCTTGGGACAAACAAAGATGGCCATTTATGTAAGCAGAAAAAGAAAGGTTGATGACTAAGTGCATGTTGATGTAAAATTACTGTTTACTAGGATGGTGAAAGCTAGAATGATGATTGATTTTAATTATTACAAAGAAATGAAGGACTTAGATCATTTCTGCATAATCTGGGTTTATGGTGATGTTTTGTGCTCTGTCAGAGAAAACCAATTCATTACAAACTCATTTTTCCAGTGGAGTTGTTGTAATGTGCTCTTTCTTTGAGTACTTATTTATTTATATCGATGCTTATTGTACTTTTTTAAATTGCTTGTTGAAACATCGTTAAAATAAAAATCTAAATCTCTCACTGTCTTTCTGTCTCTCTAACATTGTCTGACTGCCTGTCGATGTCTTCCTGTGTGTCTGTTTGTTCCTGTCTCTGACTGAATGACGCAGTCTTAATCGTCTTAATCTGACTCTCTGCTCGTCGCTCACTGTATGTTTGTCTCTGTCTCTAGTTGTCTGTCTGTAACTCAGAATGTAGAGGATGGTTTAGCAGTTTAGTACAGAGCTGGACTCACAGAGAACCTGCTGGTCAAAGATAGCAGTCATCAGAGTCTGTGAGACACCGATAACGTAACCAGCCACCTTCACAATATTGTTTATGTGGTTTTTGTTCCTAATGTTCAATCAGAGAAAAGTAACAGATTCAATAAAAGATTTATAAAACAAACACATAATTGTCTTGTCAACATCACAAACATTTAACTACAAATGTTGCTGACCCTTCTTACAAACTGCAGCAGAAGTTTTATTTTTATTAGTATAAGTTATTGCAGCTTAAATTCTGCTCTAACTTATTTCGTGTCAACTCTACTCGCCTTTTTTTTAGTTCTGTAATGTAGAAATGTTGTACCTGTACCTGCTACCAGGTACTTTTTTTTTGGTATCACTCTGTCGAGGTTCCAAGCGAGCTGAGGCGATACTAAAATGTGACGTGAAAACACAGCGGACAACTGATTGGTCAGAGAGAATCGTCACTATTCACTGCAAGTGGCTGGGGAAGACTCCCACCAGTCGAGTCGAGCTGGCACTGGTAATGGAAAAACA